TTATGTGTGTTTCGACCTATTTTCAGCCATCATCAATGTTTTTTTCGAAATTCCAAAGAAAAATGCCATCAGTTCCACTTATTTTGAAGGAAAATTAGTCAACACACTAATGTCTCATCAACTGGTTTCAATCAACAACCCATTTCATTTTGCAGCAACAAAAATTCCGTCCATAAAAATTCAGAATATGTCAAGCGTTAAAACCAGGCGATGACGAAAGGCGCAGGACATTCTGTGAGTGGTATACCAGGAAATATTAAATTTTTGCAGATTTCTTTCGAACAATCATCTGGACTGATAAAAGCATGGTCACTAATCATGGTAGCTTCGATAAAAAAAATACACATTATTGTTCACGAGAAAATGAACATTTATACATTACAGCGAGACACCAACACCGTTTCGGCTTTAATATGTGGGTTGCAATATTTGGTACACGAATTATTGTTCCTTCTATTTACCATGAAACACAGACTTCCGAACGATTGCGGAAGTTCAGAACTGTTGGTTTCAACACGATGGCGCTCCGGTACATAATTCCAGAGAAGTCCGTGCGTTTTTATCCCTTGGCCGGCGCGGTCGCCTGATTTGACACAGCTGGATTTTTTCTTAGGGGATATATCGAACTTTGTACACGCAAATAACTTTGATGATGGAGAAGAACTAAGAGACAGTGTCTTCGAAGCATTCAATAGAATAACCCCAGAAATGCTTAGCAATGTCTTAGAAGCAACTGTGAGAAGAGCATATATCTTTGTTGAGAAAATAATGGTTATCATTTTGAACATTTGTTATAAATGTCTCTGTAGGTATTGTCAAAGTTAAGTTGTTAAAGTAATTCGTGTAAGAATTCATCAACAATTTTAAACGCTGCATTGATCGAATGATGTAGTGAAATATTCTTTATTCACTTTTCAGTATTGAATAACTAATCCATCAAGTTTGACACTAAATGATCAGAAATAAGTGGAACTGATGGCTTTTTTCCTTTGGAAGTTCGAAAAAACATTGATGATGGATAGAAATAGGTCGAAACACATTCGAATCACCTTGTTTAGTACATGGTTGAATTCAGAATAAAAAAACCTTTTAGAATCTGTGAAAAAATTATCAGGACCGTATTTAAAAAACAAAAGTTGATGATGGTTCCACGAATACGAAACGTCGCATAAAAAAATCGGTATCACCACGTTAAACGTCATCAAAAGTTCTACTTCGTATCTCCTACCGTTTCCGAGACTCAGAGTTTTTTATTTCTCAATATTTCATTCAGTTATGACATATGCCTTGATAGTATGGGGTGCATCGACTCATTCTAAAAAAAAAAAAATTGTTCTATCCGTCATTCGGTTGCCCCCTTACGAGCAACCCTCAGAAGTCTTCGAAAGTCTTGTGCGAGCAAGGAATGACTACAGAAATTTTCATCAAAAAAAAGTTTTAAGGATAATGGCAGGAGTAAGTTATACAGAACATTGCAAACCATTATTTAAACAATTCAAAATTTTAAAACTAGCCTCATAGTTCGTATACGAATGTCTTATTCACATGAATAAAGAAATGTCTGATACCCGTTCTGGAATGACTAGAAATGAAGATATACATATATAGATATAATACAAGAGGAAAGATGAATATAAGATTACCAAAACTAAGGATTTCAAAAACCAAATCTTCATGCAAATATCTCGTTATGAAATTTTTCAATCTATCTATCTATCTATAAAATAACAATCCTTTACAATCATGGTGTTTAAATAACAATTTGTTGTTAGGTATCTGGCCCCGAGAGATCTATTGACCATACCGGACAATGATTACGATGAGGTCATCAGCGGTACAGACAACCTTATAATGTTCAGGAACAGGCAAGGAACAAGTGCCGTCAGCGATGTGTCTAACGATAGAAGTTCGGGAAGATTCCGCATATGCGGTTTCATTTTCAAATTTTGTTGTTATTCCTGTTCATTCAACTGCGTTAGGAAATAATGAAGCTTTTGTAACGATAGGAAAATTTATATTGAAGAGTAATAATTATGTATTTAGTATACAGGGTGATCTGGATGATATACAAGGTTACTGGTAATTGAGGTTACGTTAGTTTGCATTTCATTCCCATTCAGTAGTAAAATAAATATTGCATATTAAGTGGAGTGAATATGATGTTAACAAAGTAGGTATTAAAGAAGCACTTATCGAAGTCAAAAATTTGTGAAAACTTCCATAAGGCAATGGCTATCTAAAAGGGTACCAATGAAACTAAAATAGCTTGACAAGGGTTGGTTACTTCAAACGAATAGTAATAAACATACTTGAGAATGCCTCTCAGTTTTAAAAATATATGGAAAATTCCTATTATCAGTATTTATTTTTGGCGATACAATTCCGAACTACTAGAAGCAAAAACATTATTGATTATTATGTGTGGGGTTACATGAAAGCGCTTGTTCATGAAACTCCAGTAAATAGCCGAAAAGAGCTCATACAAAGGATAACCGACGCTGCCCTGCACAGATAATTTGACAAATAGAATAGCAAAGACGAAGATAGAGGCTCTCACTTTGAACGGGATTTGTGAAAAGTACATGCTAATAGAAATTTTTCTGCAACCGACACAAAAGTCGTCCATTTTAATACTAAAATTAGCTCTTGAATTGACGTTTCTATTACTGACACAAACATAAATTAACTTTAGCTCCTAGGAACTAAAAAGGATGTACTAGGTCGTCAAGAATAAACAACATTGTTAGGGTTGGTTATTTGGGACGCATACCTGATTTGTTTCCGATTTCGGCAGATTTGACATTTCAACATTTCATACCCATGCTGGAGATATAAATACAGCATATTATGGTTAAGTATTTTTGTTTTGATCAGGAAAGCCTTCAAGTTTCAAATACTTGCTTGATCTGTATTTTATTTGTTATTCTCGGGATCTGGTTGATTGTATAACTGGTTTTTGAATAGTCACGGCCAGCAATACTTTTTTGTCTCACACAACAATTGTACATCTTCATCTGATCACTGAGCCAAACACAGTGGAATATGGAGAGAAATAAATAATCGCTATCATTATTGTTGATATGCTCACTAAACTTAAAGACGAGTTGATAGTGTACAGTCAATTCCAATCAACTCAAGACATTCTACAATATCGAAAATTGAGAGTCAGGCTGCTGAATCTAGACATTCGGTGAGATCAAAGGCATCTACTGTAGAAATTAAATGAGACGCCTATACAGTCCAAGACTATTTTAGACGTCATAACCCCTTTACCTGTGTTGTCAGCTGTAAGCGAGTGAATATTTCTCAAATTTCGAATAGATCCAACTATGATTTGTCGAGATGATTTGATATTCAATGATGTAGGAAAAGTCGTCAATATAGATTTCCCCCCATTGTCAATTCTACAAGTTGATATTTGACATGATTACTAAAATCGAGTAGGCTGTAGCACGTTGTAGATTCAATCAGAAGCGATAGATTTCTGTCTAATCCTCAATTATTATACAAGATATTCAATCAATTTCAATTTTATACAATTTAAAATGCTCATTATGCCGTTTGGAATTATTGAATTGTTTCAGGTTCAACTTAATCTTCTTGAGAAATAGATGATTCCTCATGGTATATAGACAACCGATATATTACAAAATCCGAGAATATATTTGTGCCAAATACTGAACCAAATAAGTTGAAAGAAACAATAATTCAATTTAAACTGTTTCGAAATCTAATCAGTAGCTAATTTACTGAAACAAAATTCTATCGCTTTTGTTATCAACAGTCAAAAAAATTTGTACCACCACATTGAAGAGCATAACCACTCGCCTATTGAAGTTTTAAATGTCAAAAACTTTCTCGCTGGAAAACGAGGTCAGTTGGTCACGTGTGGGTCAATTCAACTTCTGTATTGGTAGAGCAAGTCCGATAATTTTTAATAAACAAAAAAAATCGCTGTGATACAGAAGAAAACGTGAAAATAGCCGATTCGGATCGATTCTAGAGTGCAATAGTCATATGAATACAACTTGTGATACTATTTTTCCTAGGAATATTCATCGGTTGACATACTCCAGCTTGTTGCTTTAGTTCCGCTCATGACATTGGTCCAATACTTCTCGTCTACTGATGGTTTGATGATACAATGTCATTTGCGTAATTATTAGGCAACAAGCTGTCGTAGATTAGATTAGATTTAGAATGGAGCCTTCGGGCTCTCTGCCTCCACACCGCGACCTTTTCAGATCTATTGGGTCTGCCCTCAAAATCGATTAGAGTTCTTCGGCTAACCCCGCCTTCTCCATGAGACTCCATAGGCTAGCTTTCAGATCCCCTGTGTATCTTTGGGCTTCTGGTTTTTCCTCACCCAGCGTAGGAAACCTTAGTCTTGACAAGCCCTCACAGTGGCAAAGTATGTGTACTGCTGTTTCCCCTTCTATCTGCACAGCATTTCTTCAGTCAGACCTATCGTACTCATGTGTTTGTTGAGACTACAATGCCCTGTGAGAAGTCCCACTAGTATTCTAGTTGAACTTCGTTTCGGGCTCAGTAGATATTCTGTGAATGTTGGCGATGGTTTTTTAATGAACTCTTACCTGTCTCATTCCTGGCGAGTTGTTCCACCATTTTTGAGATTTGGTTTGCATCCATGATTTGATACTAGTCTTTTGTATAGGTTTCGCAATACCACAGAAGGGTTCTGAGCCATTCAGAGCTTTGTTTGCTCCTGCTCGGGCAAGTGAGTCTGCCTCTCCATTGCCTGTATGTGCTGGTACCCATGCTAGAGTAAGTCTGTTCTGACTGCCCAGTTCATTTAGGGTTTCTATGCAGTCCCATACTAGTTTTGAGTTAACTTGCATAGAGTTGACTTCGATGGTCGCCTGGCTATCTGAATAGATTGCAATGGTTTTGCCTTCAAACTCTTGCCCAATCAATTTTTTCACGCAATGATGTATTGAAATAGTTTCTGCCTGAAACACCGTCGCGTATTTACCTAAGCTCAGTGAGATTCTTGTCTTTGGCTTGGCCTCATAAATACCAGCTCCTGATCCTTCCTCCTCTCCCCACTTACCAAAATCAAAAACCAACAACGAATTCCAATACAAAATATATTCAAAACAGCTAAAACAAGATCCACCCTCGATACCTCAATACCTCCTCTCGGGCCTGCGGCGCGCCTCCCTCCTATCCCTCGATCGCCGCCCCTCCTCTCGGCCGCCCCGCGGGGGCCTCGACCGCGACCGCCTCCTGCCTCCACCGCCGCCCTTTTCGCGGTCGCGTCTCGGGCGGCTGCTGTGGCGCCGCCCTGACGATCTGCGGCCGTGGTCTCGCTCCTTCTGGGCCTGGAAAATGGTCGTTATGAACCCACAGAACTCATAATCTTTATATCATACGACTACACCTTTCCCAATTGTAGTTCAGAAAGCGTCAAATGTAATTCAGTCAATGTCATTTGTAATTCTGGTTAGTTAATTGAAATTCAGAAAATATCATCAAATGTTATTGAATACATAGACAGGGTATTTTCTAACTACGGTTCCTAACTGCAGGTGGTGATTCATTAGGTCATTTTAGGAAGAGTTGCTTCGTTTCTGAGATACAGGGCGTTGAAATTAAAGATAAAAACGGTAATTATAAAATATCATGAATATCCTAGAACCGATTTGGTTGAAATTTGGTACTTTCATTTGAACTAATAAGGCGCATATTTAGCCTAATTTAGATTGAAATTATTGGGGCCAGTGGCGTTTCAGTGGGCACCACAGCCAACAATATTGTGAGAAAAAAGTACGCCACTGACCTTTTTTGGTAAATTTTTATTTCGTTTAGATTGGGCAACTTAAGATAAAACTTTTTGGTCTCCTGTATTTTCTCCATAAGCAGCTTCGTTTTTGATAAAAAAAAATCAAAGCCACTGTATTGCATATCATGAACACCTGCATTGGAGAAATGAGTTTTTCATTATTTCCGCCAAAAATTCAATTGACACTTGATATGCTGAAATTTAGAAAATTTGACAAGTAAAAGTACCAAATTTCAACCAAATCGGTTCCAGGATATTCATGACATTTTATAATTACCTTTTTTTTTTCTTTAATTTCAACGCCTTGTATCTCCGGAACGAAGCAAACCGGACATATGTTCATAGAAAATGTTCCTCTTAAAATGTCCTAAAAAATCACCCCCTGTAGTTAGGAACCGTAGTTAGGTAACACCATGTATAGTCAATTGAAATTCAGGAAGCGTTAATTGAAATTCAGAAAGCGACAATTGAAATTCAGAAAGTGTCATTTGTAATTCAAAATGTATCATTTGTAATACAGAAAGAGTCTTGTAATTTAAACTAGATCATTTGTAATTTAGATTATTAATTGAAATTCAGAAAGCGTAATTTGTAATTCAAAAATATGGAACAATGTTACCTTTGCTTGTTGAGCCAAGCGTAATAAACGTAATAAATTACAAAGCAATATTTTTTTCGGTATTTGCGATTTCTTTCTTCATATTCCGTCCAATTCTCTAAGAAGTGTTTATCAGGGTGGCTAAATTAGTAACGTAGATATTGAGAACATTTTTAACCACCCCAGATTTGCCACTATTGACATTTGGTATTCTATAAGAAGAACATACAGTTCTCAACACACCAAATGGACCACTCATAATTTGACTCTATTTCGAAGACCTGTATTTTTTAAAAAAATTGACCGATCTTCATGCGGCTTTCGATATCTGATGTGATGTTTCATCGACTTCAAAGAGAGCTAGAACAATCTGAAAAAGTTCGCAAAACAAAACTCACACAGGGTGTAAAGTGGAACCATTACACTATGGTCTACATTTCCAATGCTGCCAGAACTCGAGAAATTTTTTTCTGATCAAAAGTCAGTCATATTATGATACACTGGGACCTCATCTCGGGACGTTTTCGTGATTTTTCCTTAATTGGCCATTGGAACAAAAATTCGATTTTTTTTCGAAAGTCTTGCATTTCTTGATTTTTTCCTCTAGAACTCCACTTGAGCTGACTATTGGGAAGAACTGTTCTCATATTTTCTGGAGGATAATGAAAGACGAAAAAAGCACTTTCTTGGATTATACAGGATGATAAGAAACTAGGACAAAATCTCATTTCAGTGAAAAAAATCAAAAATGGTGACTAAAACTATGGCCCATTCGATAAAGTATATTCAGAAACGGCCTTCTCGATATCCATCATTTATATTAGACTACTAACTCGAGATGTTTTCGAAAATTCGCCTCTAAGTGAAATTCAGGATGAAATTTTTCAATTCAAACTTGTTTCCTGATATCGATGATTTTCAATATTTATTGCTCAAGTATGAGAAACAGAGAATTGTTGTTCAATATACTGAGTGTTTTACAACTACGATATTACATGAGAAGTCTATCACAAAAAAATTTAATAGAAGTGAAACGCGATGGAAAATAAAATTTGTAACACTTTATATCAACTAAAACTATTCGAAGAGGGTAATAAGAAAATAGGACAATACAGGGTGAAAATTTTCAATTCAAACTTGTTTCCTGATATCCATGATTCTCATCATTTTATCAACGGATTTCCAATATTAATTGCCCAAGTATGAGACACAGAGCATTGTTGTTCAATATATTGAGTGTTCCACAACTTATCTGACAAATTACGAACTCTAGAAAACAATAATGTTAGAAGAATGTGGAGACCAGCATTATCTCCAGATCTGAATTTGATTAAACATGTGTGGAGCCGAATGAAACTTGACCTATCGAGAAGGCGAGGCACCCCAAAATAATGACAACCTTATCCAGAATGGGAGGCAATATCAATAGACTTCATCAACAACCTTATAAAATCTATGCCAAACCGATTTCATGAGGTTTTGTTGAATCGGGGAGGCCTACCAAGTACTGAAATTTAGGATATAGGACTCTCTAGTTGGATCTTCATAATGCTGAAGAATTCAATAATGTCATATTTCGCCAATAGAGCCCTTTTAGAATAGTTTTAGTGTAAAGTGTTACAAATTTTATTTTTCATCTCGTTTTACTTCTATAATTTTTTTTGTGATAGACTTCTTATGTAATATCGTAGTTGTGGTTGAAATTTGTCAGATAAGTTGTAGAACACTCAGTACATTGAACAACAATACTCTGTGTCTCATACTTGGGCAATAAATATTGGAAACCATCAATATCAGGAAACAAGTTTGAATTGGAAATTTTCATCCTGTATTTCATTTAGAGGCGAATTTTCGAAAACGTCTCGAGTTAATGGTCTAATATAAATAATGGATATCGAGAAGGCCGTTTCTGAATATACGGGATCGAATGGGCCATAGTTTTAGTCACCATTTTTGATTTTTTTCACTGAAATGAGATTTTGTCCTAGTTACTTATCATCCTGTATAATCCAAAAAAGTGCTTTTTTCGTCTTTCATTATCCTCCATAAAACATGAGAACAGTTCTTCCCAATAGTCATCTCAAGTGGAGTTCTAGAGAAAAAAATCAAGAAATGCAAGACTTTCGAAAAAAAATCGAATTTTTGTTCCAATGGCCAATTAAGGAGAAATCACGAAAACGTCCCGAGATGAGGTCCCAGTGTATCATAATATGACTGACTTTTGATCAGAAAAAAATTTCTCGAGTTCTGGCAGCATTGGAAATGTAGACCATAGTGTAATGGTTCCACTTTACACCCTGTGTGAGTTTTGTTTTGCGGACTTTTTCAGATTGTTCTAGCTCTCTTTGAAGCTGATGAAACATCACAACTGATATCGAAAACCGCATGAAGATCGGTCAATTTTTTAAAAAAATACAGGTCTTCGAAATAGAGTCAAATTATGAGTGGTCCATTTGGTGTGTTGAGAACTGTATATCAATGTGGTTAGTTTTTACATTTCTACTCAATGGTACAAATGAAGCTGTGAAGTTATTCATTCATCTACTATTTCATTGATTATTGCTATATTTCTGCCTTCTTGACGTCAACTGAACCTAACAATTTATATACTCTACAAGCCCTTGGTTGAAAGATTTTTACATTAAAATAATCCCCCTGATAGGATCCTCGTGCAAGGTAATGTAAAGCAGCAAGTATTTGAAGTACTAGGCATTGATTATAAATATTCTCTAAGTACTCTCTATTATGATATATTACAAAAACTTAACTGATATTCACTTTTACATGTAGTAGAATAAAAGTAGCCAACCAACACATGCCATCTGTGGTTCTGTTAATATCAAAATATTAGTATCAATACCTCTGAAACCAATAATTTTGGCATGTGATAGAATTTCCGAAATTCAAGAATGGACTTGTTGAATCCAACAAAATTCTTTTGTTTGATGCTATCCTTGTAGGAAAATAGGTAATATTTTGTGTTCACGAATAATGCCGTAGAGAATTACCTCTTGTGCAATATCTAGCATCTAGCATTAACAGTTCCCTGAAATAGTGCCACATGTTTCTATTGAAAACCTTAGCCACTCAACAAATGACCAGAAAAAGCTGGTGGATATTTGCAACTATGAATAGTGGAAAAAAAACAGGACCAGTTGTCAAATTATCATCCGTCTAGGCCTTAGAGAATCAGAAAATCTGTATGTGGATCAAATAACCACTGACCTTCATATTAACCACCCGAATGACAGTTGTTGAAATAACCACGCTCTTAGTGAATCGGACCGAATATGACCTATTAAAATGAATTCCTATTGACCATCAATAAAAATGATTCCATAGTTCTCAAGTCGCTGGTTCTGAATTACAACTGACATTATTAATTGCAATTGACGATATCTGAATTACAATTGAAGTTTTATGAATTTCACTTGTCTAATCCGAATTAAAATTACAATTGTTGCATTCTGAATTACAAATGACGATATCTGAATTTCAATTGACGCTTTCTGAATTCCAATTGGAAAATCTAATTCACAATTGGAGTTTTCTGAATTTCACTTCACTAATCTGAGTTGCAATTGATAGCTTCTGAATTTCAATTGGCAAATCTGAATTACAATTGACGCTTTCTGAATTACAATCGAATATGGTGTAAAACGCGCGATCCTATGGTTTCATGCCAAATTTCTGAACAAAACATGGGCGTTGAAATATGGATCAAATTATACTAATCTCAGACTTACGTGGATGTATGGTAATACAGGAGAGGAGAGATACTCCTGAGACGTAGGTCATGCATTTTCATCGGTTTATTTACAAACAACGAAATGTTGCCAGTTTCATTAGCTGCCACTTGTGACCGCTTGTCATTGAATTCCTTAGATTTTGAATTCAGTTCCGGAAATTTCAAAATATTGTGATGAAGTGATATGTTTCAAGACTGTATAGCTCATTGTTGAACATGAGGGCGAAGTTGAAAGTTCTATAAGTATATATCTAAAATAGTTCTACCTATTTGTACCTATCAAATACTTACTTACTCTTTAACTCAATTACGAAAAATGGTTTTGGGATATCGTCAAACTTGAAATATCTTAGGATATAGTCAAATTTACAATGGCCATTATCTGAACATCTGTTCAATTCATTTTACAGAGGACGGTTTTCTTCTGATCTAATTCAGGATGAGTTTTGATATGTTACCTGAACTCAAAACCGACATTATTTCTTGATTCTCGCTTTCAGTTGAAGCTGTTGAAAATTCTGTCCCTGGATTTCCAGTTTATGTAATAACATTGTCTTCACATGATGAATTCTTTGTTTTTAATCCATCAGGAATTGATTCTAAATGATCTTTGAGAAGTTTGAATGAGATAATTGTATGTTCTCTACGAGTGACTTGTGGTACCTTAAATTTTTTATATTATTTATATGTATATTTCAGCCTAATGGACACATCCTCTTTAGGTTGCAGTACAATGAAAAATGAAGTGAAACAAGGTTATTGAAATTTGAATTCTAAGTTTATAGCATATTGCATAGCCTTTCAGTCTCTATTTGAAGTTGGATAAGTCTTGTGTAATGATCCCAGTGATTTGATACAGTGGAATGAAATACTTATTCAAACCATGAACTATGACAAATGTGTGACAATAATATGATAAATTTCCTTATTTTGAATGATTTATATTTGTGCGGTCGATATAATTCTCAAAAACTAAAACAGACATATAGAATGCAGAAAGATTAGCAGCATATTCATTTACTCATATAATCGAAATTTCCCATTGGAATTATATTGGTCATCTGATTTTTCGAAAATACATAAAATAATACCTTCTTATCTTCGAGATACGCCACTGATGACCATTTTCATTCTGCCACGAATTCACAGGCCGCTACTGTTTATGATGCACTTACAGTCGCGTACAGAAATCAATATCACCACGTTAAATCTCACAAAAGCTGCTATGGAAATGTATTTTTAGTTTTTCTGTATCTATAATAATGACAGAAAAAAAGATTTCCCAAAAATTTACTTTTTTCGATATAACTGAAAAACTGTAAACAATTTTGAAAATTTTCTAATGCCATTGGTATGATCCTCGGAATACGCAACTTTTTTCCTACTTAACCGAATTCGCATCTCCTCCCGTTCATGAGTTCCCCATGCTGTGCAACCTTATCTTGTTTACACTGTATAATAAAACATGTTGAACTGTATGTATATACTATGATATAAGTTTATTATTATTATCATTATTAGTATTATTACTGCTATACTAAGGCTGCAAAATGCTTTTTTCGTGAAATATATGCAAATATACTATAAAAAAACTGTTGGATTTTCACTTGTAATGGATAGATGGATAGATAGATAGAGTAGATAGATATTATACAGTGGTTTGAAAATATTTGTTTTGTTAATTGGGTAACTAGAATTGTTTTTTTTTTCTGCAACCGACTCAAGGTTCGTCCATTCTAATTTCCCAAATTACTTCTTGAAGTTGACGTTTCTATTACTCACACAAAGATAGGTATGTTGCTATGCAAAACTTTTATTTCCCAGGAAGCTAAAGTTTTACTTCAACTCCAAGGAACTAAAAAGAATGTACTAGGTCATCAAGGATGAACAACATAGGTTAGTATTCATTATATTCAACACGAAACTCCAACACAATTACATAGGTATTATTTGTGATATTTATACTGAAACTACAATTCGAACATCCTTGAAAATTGAATAAACCTGATCTGTAAATGCCTCCACCGTATGATTTTCAATTAATCACTTCGAAGAAAGTAAGGGAAAAAGAAACTTTGGTGGAGTACGGGATTTGAACCCACAAACTTTGACATATCAAGACGGCACGCTACCCACTGGCCATTGTGTTTTGTGCGAACTTATGTACAAATACACAGGTGGAATAATCCCCACCACACGGATTATTTGTTGCATTGCATCCTTATAGCACGGCTTTCACGTTTCCGGTAGTATTGAATTCGCGCCTGTAGTCTCTGTCGATATGATGCTTGTCAACACAAATTGTAACAAAGTAAAGTAGTCTGAGATAATATGTCTGAGGCCATGTTTCTATCTACTTACTCATATTATTATAATAATCTGCCAAGTGAATCACATTGGTGGTTACTTCACTTATATTTATTTTAGTTGGGTGTTATTTCTATCGGTTGCAGAAAAAATGGCATATTTCATTCGGATCAAAAGTGACTTTGTTTGACAAGCGAGTGTCACTTTTTATCCTAATAAAACAATCTATTATTTAGTCTCGTGCTATACTCATGATACGTTTTGTGACTGTTGAAGTGATATGTGTGGTCTGGAATTTAATAGCTCCATAAATGAAAAGGTACCGTTAAGATGTCATTATTTTTCAATATTCCCCTGCATGAGCTATCTATTTTCAGGTCAGAAATTATCCTTACTACTTTTTTCTGGCATATAAAAACGTTATTCAAGTCGGAGTATCCTCCCCTTTGATTAGAGTGCTCTGATCAACATTGTGTTTCAGTACTCTTATCGCATATTATGTAATTGAAGACAATTTATTAAACAAACTTTCTACCTGAGTGGTCCATGTCATTTTATCATTTGAATAGACCCCTTAAAATTCAACAGTGTTGTTACATGTGACATTCATGGTAACATACAATCCGTATTTTCATTGTTGATAAGTAACTTATTTAAACATATGATTTCTTTTTTTTGTCGAAGTAAACTTGACATTTTAATGAGAATTTCGTTGCCTGGAAATTAAACGAAAAAAATTGCCTTCGAAAAAATTACGAGCCCGTCGGACGAGTAATTTTTCTGGCAGTTTGTTAAGTTAAATTTCCTGAAGGCAAGAAAACTCGAATTATAAATGCTTGAGGGTAATTCGGTAAGACAATTTAATGAATGCGTAAATCACAAAATCACAGCAGCTTAAGTGATTTTGTGATTCGACATGAGTCAATACGAATTTTGTTGCCTGGCAAATGGACGAAAAAAACTGCCTCTGAAAAAATTACGAGTCCGTGAACGAGTAATTTCTTCTGGCAGTTTTTTTAGTTGAATTACCTAATGGCAACAAAATTCGAATTATAAATGCCAAGTTTACTTCGACTCAAAAAAAGCTAGAGTGTAATTAGGTAAGACAATTTAATTCATCAAACATTTGTTTATGACTGCTTGTCATGCTCTCAAAACTTTTTTCGCTGTCATAATGACAAAATCACGCTTCTGGTGGGATTTTTCATGCATAGATTGAATTGTCATTCAAATAATCTTTTGTCCACCTAATTATTGACAGTCCTTTTTCAATGATATCAACGTATTTGGGACCCCTTAGTAAGAAGTGTCAGCATAATTCAAAATTTTAGTGGAACAATCAGTTACTACGTTTTTTATGTCATTCACGGACACCCATGGATATCTCCAAGGCACTTGACCTGACTTCACCCTGCTCAGATGATAGTTGGACTGTTTGTTTCCTCTCTTTGAGGTATGATTTGAACCAATTGTAAGAGTTACCACGTATACCGGTTTTATACAGGGTCCCGCCGATTTAATATGGACAGTACTGCTATTTCCTGAATGCTAAGAGATAGAGAGTTGATTGAATTAGACAAAAGTTGCGTGATTTGAACCTCTTCAATATAACGGTTTGCAATTTGGAAAAATGTCAACCGTTCCTGAAATATTTTGAAAAAACTGAAAATCACTGATTTCGTTTTTGTTTATTTTCTTGGTTAATAGTAGAGGGGGAAATTTAAAATTTTGTGTAAACAAGTAATTGATCATGATAAAGACGTTGAGATTCTCAGAAATATTATATCTTCCTTATTATCTTATGGGCGCCATATTTGTTTTTTATGTCATTCACAGCCATGTATAACATGTTGACATTTTCACATGAAACAACGCCAAAAAACAGTACAAACATTTTCAACTGTGGTAGGCCATGATAATAGGGAAACAAAATATCAGTAGCCATGACTACAGTATCAATACTTCTTCGAAGCAATAACATGTTAACATGTCAAAATAAAGATAACCACCTTCAAATATATGCAATATGAGCGAGAATACTCAATGCTGAATTGACTGCAAAAATGTCCGTCTCGCAGTTTCAGTCTCACCAGTTTGCGTTACTATACAACGTGAGGTCAATGTCAAAGTCAAAAGTCCCAAAATTTTGCCGGATCGTCCTGAAGGCTGTGTCCTGTTTGATCGATCAGGAATATTCTGAGAAAATGTTGTGTGCTACGTAAATAAATAGAAAAACACAAGTTATGGTAAAGACTTGAGCAGACTTGCATTTCTTACTCTCAATATGGGCAATTCTTACATTGACAAGAAGAGCTATCAGTTCTACCAACTCTGACCTCATGACTCAGTAGCGTGATCTGGTGGACAATCAAATATGTTAGCCACCATTGATCAGCAATTTAGTTTGAGTGAATATTTTGAAATAATGAAATAACATTTTTCATTGAAACATGCCCATTAAAATGAGATCCATGAAACTTCAGAACATGGAAAAACGCGAAGTTTAGCGTGACGACAACTTATAAATACTTGATTGGCAATGTTACCTGTGGAGATGCTTCACAAGAATGATTGGGCCTCTGTTCAGATACATCAAGGTGTTCTTCCTCGCCGAATTCACCATAATCCAGATCGTAATTGATGTTGTTGTAGAGATTCTCCACGTTGCTGCCGACAGAGTTCGGATCGGCATCGAAATCGTATATAATATTCGAAGCATCCGGCTAGAAAAATGATTCATAATCAGAACAAGATAAGATATTAACTAGGAGAAAACCAAATACTCAAAGTGGAATGCAATTGTCACATATAGAGATAAACTCAAAGTCATTACCACAATAGTTCATAAAATGAACGAAAATTGTAGATAACGTGAGAAAAACAACTACTTTCCTGGCTATATGCCACGCAGAACATTGAATTACATCCTCCCGAAATCTAGGCAATAATTCGTATAGATGAATAAAATCGCAAGTGTTTCCTTCCTAAACGCCGAGTTGCGTCTAAGTGGTTCAGGAACGCGTGACTACCTGCAGACCGGTTTCGAGCTGTTGGCTCTCATCAGTAAAGGGCTGTCCCAGATAGCTTCTTGACCGCTATCTGGTGCGAACCTGACCCAACGTAAACGCATCTCAGTATTTACACCCCACGAGGCGTTCAACGTCCGCGAAATGAACGCGAACGCCACCTGGCAAGGAAAGAAACACTCCGAAACAAGATCCCATTTCGAGTGAAATGGGAGTAGCTGGTTGCCTGACTGGCGTAATTTGGCGTAATTTGTAGACATAAATTCTACGACTTTTCAAGTGGACAAAATCAATTCGGGAAAAATCCCAATCCCAAGTAGGTATACAAAAAAGCTTGATAAGGTTTTCAGAAACTTAGGTTTCGAAAGCATATATCAGTCTAAAAGTTTCCAGCGTTAGGATAACAAATAAATAACTAAGTTCGAAATAGAATATAGAATTTTGCGGGATAGCCCTGAAGACTATGGCCCGGTTTATCGGAAATATTCGATAAAAATGATGTAGAATATTTGAACAAATAGAAAACCTCAATTAGCGAAGGACTCAAGCCGACTTACGTTTTTCTTACTCTCAATGTTGAACTTTACGACCAATTCTTACATTGATGGAGAAGAAGATATCATAGGAAGATGCCTGTTAACGCCCCGCGTTAATTTAGAGTGTGAGTTAAACAAATATTGTTTTGTTTCATTATTTTTTTGTTTTGTTTTGTTAATCATAATCACGTGAAATATCGATTTTCATTTGGGGTTAAAATATCAATTCATTCGCACTGAGAATAGTCATTGATAGAATACTCTCATTCTGCATCATATTCATCCTCCCTGGCATAGTCAAAATTCGGTCATTTGTTCGGCCGACCGAGAAGATGCCGATTTGACGGACGCTGAGATATATGATCAGTATCAACTCGTGACTCGTAAAATCAATCTCAGTGGAAAACACTCGCGCGCTCTCTCTCTCTCTCTCTCTCTTTTTTTTATCAATTTGACGGTTCGCAACTGCATCGATTGTTCGGGAAATTCGAACCAAATATCAGTGTCTCCAACCAAAACCAAGTACAGTCCACTAGCTCAGAAGAATGGGTGGTTGCAACCCCCGGGAATGTTAAGGAGACGGCCGGCTGCACAAGATATAACTTCCAGGTGGTCCGATACTTGGCAGAATTTTGACTTTTTTTCAAATGCAACCTTACTTCATTCTCTCATCAGCCACATTTGGTCAATGCCAAATATTACGAAAATAAGAAGATTCGCGAGATTCACAAAGTGGACGACATCTAGGTTACATAATACGAACTTCAAACTGGGGGAAAACTATTGTCTATGGATAAAGTGCATAGACTACATTGCATACATCTTGCTGTAGCTGTAGTTGTCAAACTTGACATAAAGTGTTATAACTCCTATCAGTACACAGTACACAAGCTAATGGCACTAATGGGATTGAGTGAGGATTGAGTTTGTTTTCCCCCAGTTTTGACGTAGCTTTGACATGGAACGATGAAAACCGAGCGCCACCTGGTAACATTGATTCCCGCGAATAACGAAGAATATTTATCAGTTCTACCAGCTCTGACATCACGTTTTAATGGCGCGTTTTGGTGGACAATAATGTTGGCCCTCATTGAAACAAAATGTCCTGAAATGGTATCAAACACAGAACAACAACACTGTAACGTCGGATTTTGACATACGTGAACACACGTGAATGACTAAGAAAAATATTCGTAACTCATACTAAATAGGCGAATACAGCGTTGCCACACTTATTTACGTAAAACATAATTTAATTTGATGATGATATTAGGGAAATTCAAATTATTTCAATAGCATAATTCACTTATTTCAATTAAGGAACAAACATACCGAATGAACATACATATACATTTACACCCTTCAAATCTATCCCTTTTGAGCTCAAGTAGTTAATAAGATGTAACTTTTTTTCTTAATAATTTAATATTAATGTTTCATCAATGATGTAAAAATTTTTTCTTCTCCATGTAAGCACTGACTCAAATCAACACATTAGTTTATTAATAGCTATATCTTCTGTAGAATTGTTGCATTTAGCTGAAGATGAACCTATATATGTTCGAAACACGTCCTACAATCCATTGAGATTTTTATTGGATAAATGACTGGGAGTTTTTCTACTACTTCATCTATTAACTCCACTTTGAGATACCATGGACTTCTACTATAAAATAAAAAATGTTCATTATGTAATAAATGTATGATAAATGATTTCCTCGTTCTCAAACACAGGCGGTAAATTTCGTACAATCCGCAGAAATTTGTCAACATATTTGTCTGCTGAAAACGATGTTGGATCGGGACAAAATGTAAACAATTTCGTCTCCCTTCTTTTTATACAGAGAAGTGCACAAAAAACGGCCAGGACTGTAACTTTTGAATTATTCGAGATATGGTTTTGAAAATTGGTGGGTAGCAAGTATACCAAATTGCTCATGAATTGATGAAACAATTTTTCTTCTATCACTTCCAGTTTCACCGGAAACAACCCCAACTTTTGATTTTTAAATGGGACACCCTGTATTGTATTCTATAATCGGTCAGGGATTATCATGACGAATTCAACGAAAACGGGTTTGATAGGGGTATCTCAAACAATTACAAAGATATTTGCGTTCGAAGTATCCATATGCTCAATGGGTGTGACTGCAATATCAAAACTTTTTTCTCTTTCACACTCATTGAGTGTAACATCTCAAGAATCGTAGTTTCGAGAAAATCGCAATTGAAAATTCAGCTCATTATAATTTGTATCTAATTATGTAGATTATGTCCCAAGAGTATAAAATAATGCCCTGCCATCGTAGTTTTCTATTTACTTCCTTAAATCAAAAATTCAGAAGACAAAACTTCTGGTAAAAAATGATTTTGTTCGGACTTGTTACACTATTAATCTGAATTATATAATTAAAAAACCGCTACATGTTGCAATTGCAACAATCATAGTGATTACTGAATTAGGTATTAATTAATGTATCATCAAAAATTTATTGGACTGAACACAATAATAGTTGTAACTAATTTTAAGTTTAAGATTGGGCAAAATAGGCTATGCCTCTGCCCTTGTTAAAATATAATAATGATAATAATAATAATATAAAGCTCTGTGATCAAAAATCATCATCATTATCAGTTCAGTAAGTGCAATAACTACAATCACTACAGGAACGATGATATAACATAGTATTATAAGTTTGTATTGAGTGTTGAAATTAACCATTTTGAGCTATGCAATCTAACAACTCTGAATCACTGAAAATATTTCACAGTTCAAAACTGTAACAAGTCTTGATTATTGTATGGAGTTATTACAGTATGGAATTATATAGAAATGAAGTTTCCTTCAGTTCTATAAAGTAATTAGCACCATATCTTGGTCAGTACTGGAACTTTCAGTTACAGTATAGCACGTGAAAGCTAACAAAATGATGAATCAGATAGCGTATATAACTCAAAATGGTTATTTTTCGAGTTGTTACACTATTGAACGCTATTGAACTATGGTATCGATATGGAAACTTAAAACGCGAATATCTGCATATAATCGTTTGAAATAACCCTATCAAACCCGGTATCGGTGAATTGGTAATGAGGATCCCTAACCGATTATGGAATATCCCATTTAAAAATCGAAAGTTGGGGTCATTTTCAGTAAAACCGGAAGTGATAGAACAAAAATTGTTTCGTCAATTAATGAGCAATTTGGTATACTAGCTGCCCACCAATTTTCAAAACCCTATCTCGAATAATTCAACAGTTACAGCCCTGTCCGTTTTTTGTGCACTTCTCTGTATGTCTATGGGCCGGACTATACCACATTGAAAAAAAAAATGAGGGAATTGGTTAAGCACCTGGTCGAATTGCTCGTAGACCTCTTCGAGCCGCTTCCGCTCGAGCTCCTTCTCCAACCTTTCTTTGTCGACGAGATATTCCCGGTACGAGTCCATCTGGTTGTCGATCACCTGTCGCATCACCTCGCTGTAGTTCTTGTTGCGACCAGTGTGCACCGACTTGTACTTGGTGCGACGTCTCTTCGCGTTCCTCTCTTGCTCGCGCTTCTCCTCTTCGGTCAATTGTTTATCCGCCTTCTTTTCCAACTCATCGATATTTCTGTGAAAATTCCACATCAGTGATTTTTTATACAGTTAAATTGGGTTTTTATGACAAATCCTCAACAATTTGAATTTCAATCCAACAAGAGTACAGGCGTTACCATCGAGATTAGAGGGCCAGTGTTTTACCGCTTGTCGACTAACGCGTCAGTTCGTGTTAATTCATCGGTGATTCACGTACGTTTTTGAAGCGGTCTCGAATTCTTTTGTTGTTTATTCGTCAAAATAATTGGCGGAAAGATTACTTTTTTGTGAAATATTTTGTGTTGAGATAGGCGAAATAACAATGCCTTTCAAGTGTTGTGTTTCCTTTTGTCGGGGGAATTATGTGGGTGCTTTTATTCTCCCGTTGGACAAGGAACTATCGAAAAAGTGGGTATATGCAATTTACCGCGAGGATTTCACTCCATCTAAGTACAGTAGTAAACAGAGCTCAATTTATAATGATGAATTAATAATATATACTGCGATATAATAGACAATTACTCTCTCATAAACAGTATGAGTAGAGGAAAAAGAGAAAAGCAGTTAGTTTTGTATTCGTATATTATATTCAACAAAATCATCTCCGAAGTCGAGGAAATTTTCTTGAATGTTCATAATAAACGGGCATTTTTAACTCATTACATTCTCAAATTTCTTTCTGAAAACGGTCATTTGCCTCGTGGCAATGAATGCAGAATTTATTCCAATGATCAAATTGCAACTATCATATTAACATGTACTACAAACACTTAAAAAGGTAAAATTGCATTCATCATGCGATTTTTTTTGGTACTTACGTATTATTGTCTGAAAAACACGAATTTAATAATGAAAAGGTGAACAAACCATTATTTATTAAGATATTTGACTATAAAGTTACAATTTTCCCTTCTTTTTCGCATGTCTTCTGGATGGCATTTAGAAAAATTTTCCCTTCTTTTTTCATCATATTGGACAATTCATATATATCACAATGTATGACACATTTTTTTCTATTATATGATTCAACTATAAATATGATTTTCTTGAGATTTATTCATATCTAGTGAAAAGAAGGAATAATATCATTTAAAATAATGGCGTGTGTATAGTCATTTCATTGACATTTGACATCTCGTATTTTGATTGACTATTGATTAAATGGCCGTCATCTGGAATGCTTGTTCACTAAATATGAAAAATTCGCCATAAAAATCATATTTCCTGTTGAATTTTCTATATAAAAATGTGTCATCGAAGTACATCATGAGTATATAAAGTGTCCAATGACAAAATAAGATCAAGTAGCTTTAAATGCCCACAACACAAGGGGAGAAAGAAGGCGAAATTTCGAACTTTTTCTTGAAATATCTCGATAAATAGTGGTTTGTTCACATTTTCATTATCAAATTCGTGTTTTTCAGACCTAAATACGTAAGTACCAAAAAAAATTTCAAAAAAAAACAACCATCGCATGATAAATGCAGTTGCAGTTTCACCCTTAAAAATTGCTGTTTCAAGTCTAACGATCAATTGGGTAAAAAATCCAACAACAGGAAATTGAAAACACTCACTGGCTAATTTTTTAGGAAATAGGAATTCTCCAAGATAAATATAGGTAATCATAACAAACGAGATGTCTATCAAAATAAAATACATTTTCCACAATTTTCTTTCGACCAATCTCACGATAAGTTTATGTTCTGCGGGTCCTGTATAAGTAGTTTACCTTCATCACAATTTCTGCCAATATATTCAATTCGAATGGGTTGCTGTAGGTGGGTATTTGTGTTTTATTCTGGTTTTTGCTTTGAAACTCAGTTTTTCCATAATACAATCGAATGGGTTGCTGTAGGTGGGTATTTGTGTTTTATTCTGGTTTTTGCTTTGAAACTTTGTTTTTCCATAATACAATCGAATGGGATGCGAAGAAGGGCTCAGTTGACGACTGGCAACCTCTTTTAACCGGAAGCCCTTCAAAAAACAGCAAAATCGGCTCAATAATGATCTAAAACTAAAATTGTGATACGCGATCGCCTTATAGCGCCATAAGCGCTTGTCGTTTCGAGCCGCTGGTTAGGCCTCACTAAGGTGACGTCACCATGGAAGCATGCAGACCTCTCGATGGTAACGGTACAGGGAATGCCATATTCCATCTGCTGAAAAAACTTTACACTGAGTTGAATTCGAAGATGGTGTATGCAGCAGTTTTCTGTGACTTGTCGAAAGCTTTCGATTGTGTGAAGCACGAAATACTGCTACGCAAACTCCAGCTCTATGGTTTCAGAAATCAAAGTTTCAACTGGATCGAATCATATTTGAGTCAACGCACCCAAGTGGTGAGAACTGATACGCTCTCAGATGCTTGTTTTATCGAACACGGTGTACCTCAAGGTTCAGTACTAGGACTAGTACTATTTCTATTGTATTTTAATGATCTAGCTGATATCAAATCAAATGGAGTGTTCACTATTTTTGCAGATGATACAACCATACTGTGGAATGACACTGATGAAATTAATCTGCATAACAAAATAAAAAATATATATATATTTGAAACCAGTGTACATTGGGGGTAGCAGCAGTGTAAAAGGAATACTCTTTAAAGTTTATCCAAGCTTTTGATAATGTTTATTTCCATCATCAGGAATACTACAATGATTGAAGAGTGTAAATAAATTGGAAAACACTATGGCCATGCCTTGTACTTACATATTTGGTGAGGTTGGTTACAACGTTTGTTCGATATATAAAATTGTATAAGAAACGGTGACATATTGTGAAAAATTGATTACGTAGACAGATAGGAGACTAACATTTTTACATCTAAATTCAACTGTTACTTATATTATTGTAAATTTAAAATTTTTAAATTTTTGGTAAAAAAAAATTGATTGCCGCAAGTCACATTGCTCACATTCTTCAAATTCTTCGAATTCTTTCAGGTTAGGAATGTCTGTTTCTTCCTTTTCACAAAATAGAGGATTTTTTTGTGTCTATTGACAGGTGTGTTATTATGGTTTATAGCTCGGTTTATAGCTATTGGAGTTTTCAGCTAATTTATGAAAAAAAGAAGAAGAGATTGTTACTCTTATATTATACTGAAGTATAATGTCCGCTAAGGTTGAGAATTTGTTGAGAAACGTAAACATTCAGAAACTGTCCACAGGAATGGAACTATTTTGGTTATGTATTGGTCTATTGCGCGTTATCAATTGCTCAGTAGGTAAGAATAAATTTCACTCAAATGATTGATATCTGTGCATTTGTATACCATTAGAGACCTGGGATATGTGTGCCATTTCCATAAAAGTTCTTTTAGTTCTGTTGGCTTCAGTTGCTAGAATCCTCACTGCATCCATTATGTGATCCAAATTGTTTACATGTTCTGCCAACGCACATCTTTCAGGATGAAGTCTACTATCACTTTTGTGAGAGGAGATCCTATCTGCTGAGGACCTTTTTGAGTGACCTATATATTGTTTGTCACAATCCTGACATGGAATGGAGTAGACTACATTCGTTCGTGACAGTGTGGGAACACTGTCTTTCAGTTTTGAGTAAATGTTTCTGATAGGTAAGATGGTTGGTGGATCTGCATGAAATTCACGATGTCTGCCCTCTTGGTATTACTATTGGGAATTCTGGTTAGTAGACGAGAATGATGCATTGTCCATAACAATCACAGAATTCGGTGGAATATTCGGAAGAAGCTGCTCATTGAACCACCTTTCGAATAAATCCGCTGTCATGTCTTCATCGTAATCAGCAGATGCTTGGGCAATATTTTTAGCCGACAAAAGCAACGCGTTAGGTATGAAACCAGTTTCACTTCCTGCATGCAAAATGATAACACGTTTACCCCTTGAACAAGGTGTATTCAAGGTGCAATGCTTGGTTTCATCTACCCAACCATATTTCACAACATCATGCGTGTCGAACCATGTATCATCAAGATAGACAATAGGTCTATTGGATTCACAAAAACCTTTTATTTGACTGAGATATTCTTAGAGAGATATTCCACAATTCTTCTAGATTCCATTATTATCATACGATTATTGATTTTCCTGTGTTTGAAACCACATGACAATAATATCCCCCGTAGTGCTTCCAAACATTCATAATTGTAGTCAGGATAATCAATCAATTTGTCTCGAATTATTTCCAAAGTGGGTACTTTGTTTTCTTCCTAAAAACTATAGATTATTCGCCGAATAATATCTTTCGTAGTTTCATTCGATTTTCGCAATTTTTTTGTTTCTCTGTTTACGTTTTATAGAGTGGTCGATGACATCCCCAGTTTTAATCACTCGAAGAAATGTTGAACGAGTTTAATTAACTCGCAAATTCTATTCAAAATATCGTTCTGCGATTGATAACAATTTTCTTTCTTCAGGCATTCATATATATTCAAAACGATACGTTGACTTTCAACATGTAAGTCCTTATTTTGGTAATCATTTTCGTTCGACACTAATTCACTATTAGCCATTAGCAATTATATTAGCCATTCTGACTTATTGTATCCTTTTGCGTGTTTTTGCTGATCAATAGATAATAGAAGAGTTTTTCCCCCGAAGGGATAAAAACTATTATTTCGAGTCTTGCTGAACCTTGACCCATCTGAGATTACCCTTTTGCTTTCCTTGTGTAGCAGTGTGTATTTTGTCCAATCTTCCTCTTTTATGGCAATGCAGGTGACAATCATCTGTCACATTTCTTGATCTTGGCCGGCTAGTGCATATGCATTCTCAGTACTTTTAAAAGATGAAGTCGGCAAGGTCTTCAATCTATGGGTCAAGCTTCAGCAAGACTCGAAATAATAGTTTTTATCCCTTCGGGGGAAAAACTCTTCTATTTCGTGTCTGTGCTTCCGTTTGACCCATCTGAGAAGTGTTTGATTTCTGCCGGCTAATATGAAAGCGTACTGTGAAAATTTAATATCAGGTAAAACTAATGATATAATAATCATTTAACAACCCAAAATCCATAAGCAATGCTTTATTTGAAAGAATAACAACTGATTACTTA